ATTAAAAAAATGCTGAGTGATGGTGGCGGCGTTCGAATCTCGAACTCTGCGGTCCAAGGCACGGAAATAGCAGAGAATTGAACCACTTGAACACCATCGTTTCATGAGTGTTTTCCGATGTAAACGCTTTCGGAGCAAGCTGCCTCAATGATAGTTTCTTCTTTTCCATTCGAAAGACGCACATGAGCATATTGTGGGTTACAATTCAGGAGTTCCACCTCTTCCGTTAGAGGATCATATTTTGAAGATCGATACATTCTCTTGAGAAGAACTAGGCCCGGGGTCGACAGTCATGTCGGGAGAGGGGTGCCATTGGTAGACCTTCGATTGAATTTAAAACTCTCGTGAGGCTTTCTTGTGGCAGAGTTGTTTTCCAACCAAAGCCAGGGGACGAAAAGCCATTATCCAGGGCAATAACGGGTTGGTCAGCCACTGTCAGCTCATCTTGGAGAGTTGGCTAAACACCCTGATTCCAAGCCAACCAAGAAGAGGTGTATGAATCACACCGACCCACGTCTTCCTGATTCCGGTAGTGGTCATCGGCTTAGTTGGGAATGGTGTATTGAGCACGTTGGTTGTTTGATCCTGTCCAAAGGGCTTAATGATCCGACGAACTAGACGGCCCCCAATACATTGCGTTGAAAATGAATGATTGTTGCTCGGGATGCGGATGTTGGTGTTGGTGAGTTCTCCAAGCTGGAAGTGTTGTTCGCAGACATTTCGTAGCCAAGCTAGGCAACATGATTAGTGCGGCGTCGGCTAAGAAACGTCTGCGAACACTTCCAGCTCGGAGAACTCACCAACACCCAATGGATTACGGTTTTTTACACTGTCCCGTTACCTTACGAATCAGGCTTTGGCTAGGGAAAGACTTCGGTTGTGAATTCATCAAAAAAGTCACTTGCTTTGGCCTGGACAACCTAGCAGTATCGTGCCCACGAGCAAATCAGAGATTTTTTCCTTTTCATAAATTTTATTGTTCTGTGATTTGTTTGGTATAGTCTAAACTCAGATGTGTGAGAAAATAAATATATATGTAGCCTTTGCCGGAATAAAGTGCAAGCAAATCACGCAGTATATGCTAAAGTCGATGTTTTTTCTTTTATTCGGTTTATCAGACGATGGAATACCGTCTATTTCGTTTTGCTTACCACGACTTTGTCCGATAGATTGTCCTATGGATGGGTTATTTTTTCATGTCTCATTTTCTACTTCCTTTTTTAGCCCTCTTAGAGGCCTTAGATACTAAATCATCAGATTTTGTGGATGAAATTCTTTCTCAGATTCATCAGAGTTGTCGATTCCCTCAGATAACTTCACATTTGCATGTGGAACAAGCTTGGCTTGTACATAACCGGATACTTGAAGAGTCGTTCGCCTCAGCACGAAAGCGACTCCAGAAAGGTGGTACCAATGCATCGAACGACGCTAACCTTGGTGTGGGCTTCTATGCTGTTTTTGACTGGTCTGCAGTTGAATATATTGCTAGTAACGGTATTTCTCCTGGAAACGATCCAAACACATGGTTAGGTAAACCAAATCAAGGTGAGTTTCACCCTCATTCATCGTCCCCCCACCTGTATCTGCTCTTGTACTCGTTGTCACACGGTTCGGTTCATTTGATGTAGGTGATTTATCTCTCCAGTGTGATCTACTATTCCCTCCTGCGAGAGACAGTATACTTTGTTTACGAAAATGTCTTAATAGTGTGGTGCTGTTTTCAAACTCTTAACGGACCTCGGAAATTATGGTTAAGAAACCAATCTAGGCGGGGAGCTTACTCAAGATCCTTTTCTGCAGTCAGCGAAGTTCGCTCAACAGTAGTGACAATGGTTGAGATCTCCAACTGGTCACTGTAGTTGTCAAACGCATTTGCTCCTGGTCCCAGAAAGTCTACTTGCTTCTGACATGATTCATATGTCAACACACTGTATATGATTAACTTGACGAACATGAGTGGAGTTTTCAAGTGATATCCTCAGGTTGTCACTTTGAAAGATAAATTCTTACCAGCTAACTCGACTTATGACAGAATTTGTTGCCTAGAATCATGAAGTAGGTGGTAGTAATCACACGGTTTCATTCACCGTCACTAACATACCCCGGATCCCAAGGACAGGTTCAAACATCGCCCCCCAACTTCAGTGGTAGGCAGCTCTTCTGTCGTCCGGTTCAATACCACGCCTAACTTATCGGGGCCTTATGTGGTTCGCCGCTCCAAGTCCCGGGGATCAGGTTACCGGTTACCATCACTGAACAGCAGGTCCTATGGGGTCCGCCCCGCTTTCTGTTCATCACACACTGGTGTGTAATTTTAAAAAATCGGTCCAAGTCTCGGGGTTTAGGTTGTCGGTATTTGTGAGTGAACGGTTTGTCTTCTTGATGATTACTGGTCCTCCTACTAAGATTCATGAACAAACGACAATGACAGTTGTTGGAGCCGCATTGGTCATATTTTCACTGCCTTCGGTATCCAGTAACCAAAACCGTTGCACGAAAATCCACGGTTAATTCCTTTTCAGACTGAAACTAAAACTCATTTTGGAGCCCAAACTTGCCTTCCTTTGGGCCCATGTTTTCTATCTTCTCTAAGCTGAAAATGGCTCTTAACCCAGTCGATCGCGTCCTACTGTGTTAAAATCTCATTGAAGGTGGAGCCTTAGAAGTTTTCATTCATCACAAAAAATAACTTGAACCGCGATTGAGATTACGGCATTTTTGCAAAAATAGTGTTAGTTCTGTGTGCTCTCATTGTCCTATTCTCCTCAACCTAGTTTTTGGTATGACAAAACTATCAATATGCCCCGGCCTTTCACTTATTCTCGTTTTTTATCTTCATTCTGTCCCGCAGATCAGGCTCTAGAGTAGCTTATTTCAAATAATCGTGTCGATTTGCGACATACAAACACCATTGTGATCATCATACAACGAGATGCAATTAAGCAAACTTTAGTGATCGTTGTGAAGATCTCGATGTCATCATCATCGTCGGACAGCGAGATACAGTGAAGCGAACTTCACTGATCGCTGCCAAGCTCACAATGTACGCAAATCAGGTGATAAATATGGAGAGTGATTGGGCTTAATTGGAGGGAGCCAAAGAAAGTGAACCTCTACGGTCAACCCAAAAATTATAATCTAATGGTGCATACGAACCTTTTCAAGCATTCTGACCCGATAAGAAATACCAACAAGAACGCTACTGCCGTCGCTTAGTTGCCATATCTATCAGTGTCATCAACGAACCATTTGCAGTCTTTAATCCCAACATGGAGGACGAGAGATACCTACTGTATCTAATCACTGTGGGCATTTCTTCATACCTCGTTCCCACTTCGTCTGTTGACCTCCAAGTGGTTTCCTCAAACCTGATTTTGTTGGTTAAGACGACCTTTGACTTACAGAAAGTGAGTGCTCCGTGAGAAATTTCTCCTGGAACGAGATGAAAATGGGACATGACGTATTTGAAAACGAGTGGTGATATATGGAAAGCTTTTTCTTGTCTTTCTTGTTTCGATTGACTTATTATTGAAACTGAAACAAGCTTTTCTCGCGATAAATTTGAAAAGAGAAGCCAGTATATATACATGTAAATATATATATATATATATATATATATATAAAGAGAGAGGCGCAACCAAATTAGTCTATGGTTCAATTCCGTCCTGACCTGTACGAGTTGGGAATGTAATCAGGCTTTCGCTAGATACTGCAAGCTGTTTGGAGGGACAGCAGTTCAACAAAAAATCAGTTCACCGAGAAAGATATTGGAACAATCTCATTTGAGATGAAGTTTCCTCTTGCTTTGGGTTAAGGGGTTTCGCCTCCCAACCCTAAGATTTGTTATTAGGGTGCTAGCACAGACAGAAATAGTACACATACCTTATACATATACCCGTGTAAACAGATCTCATTAACCCTGTTGAGTATCATTCATTAGGAAAATCCACCCTGCAGATCGAATTGTAATATAGCACTAATCTCGCTTAAAATGGGTCATTGATATTACTACTTTTTTCGATTTTCCACAGGAGTTGTTGTCAACCAGTGTGCCGATTTGACCGTCGCCAGAGCTCAGCACAGACTAAACAACAGTCTAGTCACTCCGACATACGCTGCTGATGCAACCACTGGATCTCCTCCATCTGGAACCGGGGCTATTTATCTGATATTGGTTCGATGGATAAAGTCACGAGCGTACGTGGTGTCCTCGGATGCCGAGAACTCGAACGAACTGTTGGAACCACAACCGGGTTACGCGTGTCACGTTTCAACTTGGTCGCGTATCGACCCACTGGATCCCACGAAGCTGAGTCTGGAACGTGCGTTTCAGCTGGCACAGGTATTTTATCTCTAAGGGGCGCAAGTGTTCCGCTTGATCCCCTTTCATTTCCCCAAATGGCTCGTAGTGCTGCCACGGTGATTTGTTTCACACTCTGTGTAGGCCCAGCAGTAATCAGGTAGATATGTATGTACGTATGTATTGTCACATTTCACAAATCAAGCAACCGGATGCGGAACGGAGAAAACTCGGAGTCGGAACGGTACACTTTACTCAACCAATAAATCCGGTACATGAGCTGTAATAGAAAAAGAGCTTTATGTAACATGCAATAGAAAAGGGTGTATAAACAACAGAACCAGAATATGACATTCACTCCGGCTGGACAACGACTGTTTATGGAAGGTGTGTTTTGTAGTGAGAAAAAACACTGAGTAGTAAGTTCGGTTCCACACTTTTCTACTTCGTAGATTGTAAGGGCATGTTCGCTGCTGTGTACAAACAAGAAAACAGGAATATGACGTATGTTTGTATGTCAGTAAAGATTTTCAATAGCTATTCCAACCTTTTACGAAGGAGTGATGAAAAATAAAATTCTATCTCGTGTTGGACACGTAAAATTTATGCCTTTTACAGTTTTTGCGGAAAACAGTTTTTCCTTTCGCTTTCCAGGGTGAACACTTTCTCCGTTTGCCATTATTGATCGATTATTTTCTTTCCCCAGGTATACCTTTACGAATTCGACGAAGAGCTGGACCTGAGACCGAAACCCGAACACGTCCTACCTTACGCTGTGGTTCGTTGTCGTTGGACATTGGACACCACCGTTACCATGACCGGATCTGGAGAGGCATTGACTGCGGCAAATGGATTGATACTTGTCTTAGCGACAAAGTCATCTCGCAACTCTTCCGGCAGCAGTCGTCACGCTCTTCTTCCAACTCCCCCGAAAGCTACACATCGATCGCGGTCCGCACGAGCTGAAGACCACACCTCACGGTTGTTAGGTCGGCTCTCTAGCCGAACCAGTGAAAATATTATTCCATTGATATCTCCCGAAGATCTCCAGTCTGTCAAGAGTCGAGTGAGTGTTTTCTTTTTATTCCGCGTCAACTCCTTTTCTAGGCAATCTCTTATTTGACGAAATGGTGTTTGACCTGATTTATGTAGTTCTCTCTTTCTGGTGTCACTTTTCCCGTCGGAAACATGCACTTTCTTTCCTTTATCCGACTAATTAGGAACGATTGGTTCGTTTCTTGAGTGTTAAAAAGTTTAATTGGGTGTAGTGCAAGAGATCTACTTAGCGCCGCTCAGTTTTTCTGTCAACGGCGCGGACCTCAAGACAGCAGTGTGTTGATGCGCAATTTTTTAGTTGCTCCATATGTATTCATTCGCCATTCGACAGATTTGGATGCAACTCAAGAATCTACGGGTCTCTGTTGAACCGATTTCCCTTTGAATCGGGTGGTGTAGCTGGTATACCTATTAAGGATTAGTTGTCTTTTTACACCAAGAGTTTTTTTAATTCCTCGATTGCCATCAGCGTGGTTTGGGTTGCCTGTCGAATGGTTTACCGGTTTGTGATCGCTGATGCTGAGAGCGACAAGCATGAGTTGGCTAAATGAAAAAGCTCAAAGTTATGAACTATGCCATACAAGGCAAAGCGGTCTACCTGCTCAGAGGTGTTACTTCTGTCAGGCACCTCTTACACCTGTACAAGACTGTCGTGTCTTGTGTCATCGCCAATCAATCGAATGGATCCTAATTCAGGCGTAGTTTGCTTTCTACCCGATCGATTCGTTTTGACAAATTGGATACAAATGTTTTACCGATTCAAATACAAAATAGGTGAATAATGAGACCCCTAATCCGCTCATTCAACCTGTTTTTTCTTATTCCAGTACTTGACACTTTCAGTTAGCTCATTCTTTATTCAATCAGTTTTACCAACTTTTCTCTCAGTGTCTGCCTCATCAGGAACCTACTATGGACAAAGTTGACCCAAGAAGGTGCACAAATTGTGTTCCATCCATTCCAAACACTAACAGTTTCTAGTGTTCATAGCTTTTTGCAACTTTCGTTTGGTTGAACCGTAACTGGGCATTGTTTTAAAGAATCATGGGATTCCAGCGCTGGATGAGTTTTCTATCAATTATGATTAAGAAGTTAGAAATGTGTCTTGTAATTCATTAATTTCACAATCACACTTGGTCTGTCCTCCTGTTGATTTATTGCTGGTTATCCTACTACTACCAGTTTCAGTTTTTCTTTATCTTTATCCTACCAGGATTCTAAGCCACGTCGCTACCACAAATCTAAGTAAACTTTTTAGAACTACACATTTATCGCTTCGTACAAGTACTCTATGACACTCCGAGAATGAGTAATCATCTAATCTTGCCACTTTCTATTTCGTTTCCCTGTAGCCACACTCGCGTTTGACTATCCCACGAAATGCATCGCATCACTTGCTCACTAGTCCACCTCAGCCGGGAAATCTCGCTCCTCCGGACAAACCGCTCGAGTCGAAAGTGACTCCGATGCATGTTGCCATTCTACAGGCTCGTCGTTTATGCCTACAACCAGAATGGTCCGGTCGTCTGGGCGAATTGGCCGCGTTTGCCACGACTGGTTCGACACCGGTGACCACTTCCACCTCGGTTCCAGTTACCACCACCACACTGGCTGCGTTATCCAATCACCAAATGGTTCTCATGGGGACAGGTCTGATCACATGGGGTCAAGTGGGGTCGGATTTGTATTCGCTCCAAACGGAACTTTATATCTATCGACGACCGTGTTTGCCCGTTTTCGATGGCATGTACGTTTCCGTAAGATTTGGTTAGTTATTTTGCTGTTAAAGCTACGTGTCGTGGCTGCCCATCTGCTGTGGTATGCATAACTCGTATCGTTAGGTCTTCTCAATCAACTGTTTTGAACGCAAGCAACCGGACATGTCGAATTCTGAGGTGTGTGGTTTTATTC